CCATTTGCCTGGAACACTGATCAGATATGGGAACATGTATATAAAAGCAGAAAATCTCAGAAAATCTGAAAGATTTTCTATAAAATGAARTAATGCAAAATTTGAAATATCAAAGTAAGACCYTTCAGTGGGAAAACCAAGACATTTGCCCCACTAACAATGAAAGCTTCCAAAGGGAGGAATTAACTCCTGTAGTTTACAAAYTTTTTTCACCTGCTATCAAAAACGGTTACAAGGAATTATTTCTTTATCTAATCTCATCTTTAAATGAACACCAGTAAACGTATCAATCCATTAAGTGCCTCATTTTATTGTAATAGCCAACAAAGTAACCCAATTGTCTGCTTCCAGACTACCCTCAGAAAAAAGCTTCAAGATTCTTCAACTGCCAAATTAAGGAAAAAAAGTAAATAAAACAACAGACAAAAAAAAAAACAAAACAAAACCCCAAAACCCCATGGAAATGCCTAGTTTATACCTTACTTTTCCCCTACCTTAGTATTCAAAAGTGACAAGTATCTCTAAATACTGCCTGTCTTCCTCCAGGCAAAATCCTGACTACTTAACATCAAGGAGATGAGCAAGAGAAAAGGAACAACTAAGTTTGTGTGTAYCTGACCATCATCTACCAAATGAAGYAAACAAAACACTAAGCCAGTCATGAAGGCATTTCCAGCTCCGAGTGATTTGTCCATAAAACGGATTCTCCGTAAGTAAATTACCGCTCTCTCCTTCCTGCCCATATGGACTGAAAAGGAAAAAACAAATTGACATAATGAAAATAACTCCCCYTTTCCTGTTCTATGACCTACCACGTGGGGAAAACCACTAGAAAACAACAGTAAACTAYGAGGTGCAAAAGGAAAACAGGAGCRYWACTGGCACACTTATAGGTGCACAGAAAGTTACAAGATGGTTTATGAGGGCTATAAACTCTTTCCCTGGGATGTGTGTTACCCTACACTCATCATGTAGGCTGAAGTCATACAGCTACAAAGGATTCAACATACTGTGATTTCACTGTTCACTGYAGGGTTTTGTCTATACRCAGTTTTACAATTAAGAAACAYGGTACGAGWAAAGGCAATGAAGAATTTACAGCASTATTTAGGGTTAGAGATATTGAAGTTTACCTCCAACAAATTCTTCAAATGAAAATCAGCTATTTCAGCATTTAGTGGCCTGTATCATTCTTTGAAAATTGTTGTCATGGCCACATCATTATTGTACTCTGGGAAATTCTGCACACAAGAAACAGTGACACAAGAMAAGCTCTGCTGCCATCTTAGCAACTGTGTCTCAATGTTCTCGTATCCATAGAAATAATAAAATCAGTAGATCAATTTCTGTTTCAAACWGCTGCCTGAACACATTAAACAGTTGTGTGCTTCTCTAAATTTTATATATCTTAGCAGGTGCTTTATTACCATTTGTATKGTATCATAAAGTGTTTTCTTTACCTGAGCACAGATTCTGTCAAATTGGGATTTTTTACTTTTTCACCATTAAAAGACACTGCCAGCAATAGCATCTGATAACCCAGTGACACGGGGCAGGGAGGGAGGCATTTAAATCTGCAGCTCACCTCATGTTATGGACACAGAAGATACYGTGTCCACAAACTGGTGAAGTCTTCCTGCATTTTTTTTCTTATTTAAATATAAGAACCCACAACTGCACCTGTTTGAGAACAGAATTAGCTTTAAAAGTAGAACAGTGTTTGTATCAGAGAAAAGAAAGCAAATAGCTGAATAATTTCCTAAACTGTTTTAAAGAGACATTAAGTATTAAGAAAGTAATTTGATATCAAGTAAATTAAACTTAATKTTTGCTCTAAAATTTTGCCAATATGTGGAAGCAATGCAAAATAAAAAGTTATATTAGCTTTTGAGTCAAAMACAAGATTGTTTTTATTCTGGCTCACTTTCAGAGTTACAGGYGATAAAGGGAAAAATAAAGGGTRACCAAGTACATCGTGGAAAATCTAYGATTTCAGACAGTCGAGCTGATCAGTAGTCTAGAATACCAACCAGAAAAACACCCTCAAAGAAGCAACAATAAAAAAAAAAAAGTTTGCCATCTCTATGGGTTTTAAGATCAGATATAACATACAATTAACTTAACTAGATCAAATATACAATTTATAAAAGATAGAAATGTTTTAAGGCAGCATCTTGTGTCCGTTCTAAAACCAGTGCCAATTCTCTCACATCTGACAAAGGCAGTGTTTTGTTTCATGTGCTTATTAAGCATCAAGCACTAAGTATTCCACAAGCAGATCATTAGCCAGGCACTGTTTCTACATAAAACCATGGATCTGATTTCATGCAATATAAAACATCCAATAGAAATTAATAGGCAAAATAGTTCCACAAGTTAATAATTCATATAACCATGAATTCCCATAATTTCCGTCCTTAAATTATTCTGTAAAAATACTCAGACAGGTAAGCACAGGATAGTTCTTGAAGCACAACTCTACCATGGAAAGCAACACTTTTTCCTTATGTATATATTCAGTCACATCCTTGCTTCCAAAATAAGAATAGCTTTATAAATTAGTATTATTTATTTCTGCTAGCAAGTGAGAGTGAATTCAATAATTAGACAGGAAGCCAGAGTACTGTGGTTCATGCATCAATGATATTGATGCAACCAAATTGTCTTTCTATTTTCTTCATTTACTTTTCAATTTGCCTCTAATGGAAATAGTCACATAATTTAAGGACCAGGGACTTGTACACGAAAGACAAAGGCAAAAATTAAGTCCAAATAACTGTAAAATATGATGCAAAATCCAGGAGAGAAAACAGCTGCATTTCAGAGTATGAACTGAGTTACAGGACTATCAGATAGAAAATCTTCCACTCACCTTGTAAAGTAAACCAATMTGAAACAGAACTGATGAGACCAACACACTACATTTATGTTTTCTACTTTTAAGAAGAAATCACCATTTTAACTTCAAATATACGTTGGTATTGTACTGAAAACAAAATAGAACCCTAAGTGACTACTCTTCCCATGTTACATTTCATTTCCTTTATGGTCTAGAGTAGAATTTAATAAAAACTAGGAAATTAACTACGTGGTAGCTTACTAATAAGCTCAAGAGCTTGAGCCCTTAACTGCTTTTCATAAAATGGTCTGAGGCTGAGGTATGCTTCTCTCCAACCCTCAACTTAGGTAACAACAGTATGCTAGACAAAACACTCAAAACACTTTTTTTTTTTTTTTTAAATAGTGCTCAGAGGTATTTGGAGAACTATYTCTACATTTTGAAACATGCTAAAATGTGATAATAAAGTACAATTTAAAAATATGCAGTAAATGAAGTGGCAAAACTTTCAACCACTGAACCTTGAGCTACAAGGTATTCCGTATCTCACGCTCCCAAAAAACCACAAATATATACAAGACGTTAATAATGTCTTGTCTCAAGATTTTTAGTTACGAGAAATTCGTGTGAGTCATTAAATATGGAAAAATATTTTTCTATTCAGGAATATAGAAAGAAAATATATGATCCATTAACACAAATTTTACTCTAAAAATTCTCATGCAGCTTGAATTTTAGTATTTTCTACAACAGGCACAAAAACAAGCACAGACTTCAAGTAGAAGTTACACAGCCTCATCAGTGAACTTTATCTGAAATATTATTTTAGCTCACTGCTTTTRTTAATTAACCTTTTCCTTTWAARATATAATTRAAATAGACAACTGAACATYGCATTTCTGCAGCTGTACTCAGACTAGTCCATGAGAGTAGCACAACTAGAAATAGTACCTCTCTCCTCACCSCAGCTACTTACACTCAGATTTCACCGCACACCATTTGGAGATTGCCAGCAGTGCTCAGGAACGCAGGGAGAACTGGGCTCTTGTGGGATGCAGAGCAGGCTCTCCTGAGCATTATTCATTTGCTTTACAGGCAGACAGCCTGAGCATTCGCCTTCAATCTGGTTTTGAAAGCTTTTGCATCAGTACTTAGGTGACAGCTCAGCCTTCTCTCAATCCAAGAAGGTATTTGAAATTGCTTTGTGTTCAACATAAAAGACTCCATTTCTTTATAACTGGAAACCAGTCTGAACTCCTGGCCTTCCCAGCACACTTAAACAACACAGGGCACCAGAGCTGCAGCAGTTCATGTCTGATATTCCCTCTGATATAACAGGGAATTAAGCAGCAGCCTTTCCTAATCACAGTCTGTTCACTTGAAAGTCAGAAAGGCAAAGGGACCCCAAGTTGTGCAGCTTTTTCAAAGGTGAAGAGCTCAACTGTGCAATCAGTGTATCCCCTTTCCTGCTTCCCACACCCAAAACAGGGCACTAGCTCCAATAAATGGTAAAAGTATTTGCACACAGCAGTTCTACACTCTTTCAGGTTCCTAAAAAAAAAAAAAAAAAAGTGGGCTTTTTTCAATGACTTCATTTGAAAATATTTTCCATGGGTTCCATCTTGTGTGCTCTCAGAATACTATGATGAAGGACTCTCAGCAACTCCTGGTCAGGCACAGGACACCCCTAAGAGCCCCACCATGTGTCTGAGAGCATTGYYCAAATGCTTCTTGSWCTCTGTCAGGATTRRTGCTGTGACAACTTCCCCGGGGAGCCCTTTCCAGTGYCCAACCACTCTCTGGGAGAAGAACCTTTCTCTAATATCTAACCTAAACCTCCCCTGACTCATCTTCAGGCCATTCCCTTGGGTCCTGTTGATGGTCACCAGAGAGACTGGTGCCTGCCCCTCCATGTCCCCTCACAAGAAAGCTTTAGACCAGAATGAGGCCTCCCTCAGTCTCCCCTTCTCCAGGTTGAACAGACCAAGTGACCTCAGACACTTCTCATAKGGYTTGCCCTCCAGGCCCCTGACTGAACTGCAAGACAATCAATGGGAAAAAAAAAAAAAAAAAAAAATCTTTATACATATAAAATCAGATTACAGACATACACAGAAAAAGAAAAATCAAAGAAAAAAATAACCCTACAAGATATACATACCCAGTTTTAAGGCAGAAGGAGTCACCTCAATCTCACCAATGGGCTGAAAGGCAGCCAGCTGAGTCGCTACCTCTGTCTCAAAAGAGTCTGGGCTATTTCTGTCTGTCAAATTGCCATTGGTGCCATCAGTCTTAYGGGGAGCTTCTTGTTCATCATAAACAGCAATCAGCTATCAAAACAAAAGATAATGCAGTTTGTACATTTCAAGTATTTCCAAATTTAACTTTTTTTTTTTTTAAAAAAAAGAAACTTGTACTTTCTTTAAAGTTCAAAAATAATGATATTTCAGAACAACTCACAACATACAGGCTCCAGAAAGCACATACATTTGTGTTTAGATACATTGACTTCAATATGACTTAAATATATGTTTCAGCACTGCCGTGGGCTGACACACATTTCTCAGAGTTAGCATGCTACCATTAATGAGCATTTTACATTAGTTCAAAATACTTAAGGATGAACACATTTAAAAACACAGAACAGCATTTAATTCTTGGGGGCAGAGAGAGTTATTAGTCTAAAACATGTTAGTGTTACTGACTGACATGCTGTACAAAGGTAACACAACCACAGAAGCTGCACTGAGTGAATAGATGTATGTTTTATTTGTAAGAACATCATAACTACATTCCAAAGACAAGATACATCCAGCACAAGAACAGAGCATGAAGCCACACAGGCTGGACAGCCAGGACCTTTCACAAGGATCATCCTTTTGGTTCTTACTAATATAAAGTGATCAGATGAGGGTTAGCAGCTTCATCAAGAAGTGATTCACACACATGTGGATGGGTGTAAACTGTATTACAGCTCCAGGAAAACAGTTAAGTATATTAAAGCTCTGGGAAAACAAACCAAACTATGATTACAACGAAGTAGAAGACACGATGTTCTCAACCAACAGGATGCTTGGCACCCGGAGTCCTCTCCAGAAGCAGAGGAGGTAAGAGCAGCAGTTCAAGTGTTTTTCCTACCCTACCACCTGACATGACATAGTTCTCWTGCCATTTAAATGGCAAACACTTTGCCTAAGGTGCTCATTTATTCTACTTTCTCTGAACTCCTTCAGATTATCCTAATGTTTTTCCTAGCTAATCATGGGGATTATACACAACACACACAATTGGTTAGATGATGTCAAAATATACAGAGAAATTACTCTAAAGGATTGATTTACTGCTTTTTATCTCTGTGTGTGTTATTTTAAGGTCTGCATGTGCTCTCTCTTATAAAAATATTATAACATCAAATCTCCTCTGACACTTCTAAGACGTATCAACAATTATATCCTATGAAAAACAGTACACTGAAACAAACGTTTAAACAAACTCATTTGCCCAAGGGAAGAAATGAATGTACGAAGGAAAAGGAAAGAAAATCCTAAAGTGCTTCTAAAAGGAAGAAAGTGACATTTTCAGGTCTTCTACTCATTTATAATTTGGCTACTAGAAATGTGTTAGCTCATATTCACCAAAGCACACTTCAGAGACACACAAAACCATTTAAATAATTAGGTAGACAACTTGCTCTCTTTTTCCATGTGGAGTCTGTTTCCTTTCTGTGGCCATACAACTAAGATTTTACAACACACAATTTGTTTATATTTGTATAATCCATATAGAAAATATTAACTGCAGTAATAACAACCCTTTCTGTACCTTACTCCTGCATAACATGTTAAGTACCCAAGTGCCCACACTGCATTCATTATGTCCCAAAATTACATTTAACCAAAAAGGCTGACTGAGATCCAGACACCAACAGTTCACAGCAATTTTCTCGAGTACCAAGAAAAAGAAACAAAACAAAAAGCCCCATCCTATTGTATCTTTCATTTGTTTCCAAATAGACTATTCATGCTCATGCTGTTATGGAAGCTCATCCTGATTCAATAAGTCCCACGACCATTGTACACCAAASGGTTTGCTTTCTCGGTCTCGCTTTCGCTGTGGAAATTTAATTTCTAAGAAAGAGGCTCTTACTAATGATGAGGAAATTGGACATTGTGCAGGACTGTGGCACTGAAAGCACTTTAGGTAATAGCAAGATACAAAGTTCATTTGTGCATCCACAAAATAGAATGGAATAAATGGACTTCAGCTGTGATTTGATGAGAACAACTGAATTCCTCAACTAGACCAAGCTGAGTTTCCCCTTGTTTTCACACCATAGCATATTAAATGCTATATTACGTTGGAATATTCTATGCTTACTGCCCCAGAATGTTGCAGAAGTGAAAAGTAGGAATCGGTTAAAAAAAAAAAAAAATTAGACAAAGTGACAGGAAACASCAGCAAGAACAGTTAAATGTATGGGTACAAGTGACAGGAAACACCAGGAGAACAGTTAAATGGATAGGTACAAGGACTACCTCAGTCTCAGAAACCTCCAAAACATGTAGCAGTACATATAGAAGAGCAAACCAGGACAAAGTGATGTTATGATTACCCTACTTCTATGTGCTTTCTGCAGGTGTTTTCCACTGGTCACGGGCAGAGACCAGGACAGCAGCCAGAGCACCTCTCACAGGCTCGTGCACTTTATGACATTACTGCATACTGTGGTTTCTAAGCGCCACGCCTTTCCTTAGTCCCCTGAAGTTCAAATGAATCTTGTACAGAAATGATAATACAAAATTATTTGAACAGGCTAGTCAGGTCACAGACTCCTGACAGTGTAAGATATGGCACCTTGGCCACCTGCCAGCCCTGAAATGCCACCTGCAGCATGGCCACACCATACCCTTGCCCTGCATTCCCAGCAAGGCTGCTCCTGCTCCTCACCACGGTCCCTGCCACTTCCCCAAGGCCAGTGGCCGTGTCCCCACGGCTCCTTTTGGGTGCCCCTCAGTGCAGATGCTGCCCCTGAGGGAGTCCCATGTTCAAAGCCCTGCTCTGCTCCCGGCCAAGGGCTTCAGTGGCACCGACTCCACCTGCAGAGAGCCCAGGTTAAAACAAAGTTTCAATTGCCACAACAATATCCTCCTGTCACCGAGGGTCCCTAAAAGAACTGCCCTAGCATTGAGTGACACTACCCAAGAGCTGACAGGTTTCAAGTCAAACACCTGCCTTGATACTTGCTCAGAAATGAGCCGTGTTCAGGCAGGCTGAGGGGCAGAAATCACAGTGCCAAGTGCAGATTAAGCCTGCAGATCTTCTCCTGCCTAATTWTATGGAAGGATTACAAGTGATTTGATGCTTCTATCACCTCTGCACCTTAATGTACCGGCCACTTCCATTCACCAATGAAGAAGGTTCAGCAGATGGAGACACACTCGCTTCTCTCCTCCCAACTCCTACAGCAGAGGCACAGGAACACAAGTCAAGACGAGTCCCCTTCCCAAATGTATCCAGAGCAGCACTCCATTGTCACACTCTGAGCCGGAGCAGACAGGGCACAGATGAGAGCCGACACCTGCAGTACAGCTTGGCAAACAGCTGGAAGAAGATTCCACCCCAGCTAGACTGCACAGGCCCAACACCTGYCTGAAAATGGGAAGTCTCTTACTGCAGACATTCTGTGAGTGACTTCTGTGAGAAACCTACAGCTCCCTTGTCTACACCCAGGCACTATTTTGACAGATTAAAAAAAACAAGGAACGTGTATTTCTTTACAGTATGGAACACACCAGTAATTAAGTAACATGATCTAGAATTGAACTCCCATTTTTTTACAGAGTGTGGAAGGGAGATGCTGCAGTACTGCCTGTGGAGGTAGCAAAGATGTGATGTCTTTCCTCCCCAGGGAAATAAACAGCCATTTGTTTTTAAAATGTTTATTTGGGAGAGAACTCCTCGGGACTACAGTTGCAGCAGCATCTTATCAGTAGSAATTCTAACACAAATACATTGCTAATCAATGAAAGTATTATAAATATCTGCTTCAGCCTTTCAAAGGGAATTAACACAATAAAGGTTATGTAAATTAACTACTCAAAAATAATTCTCATAATTGACTTCTCATTTCCAATAGGAAATTTTTTTTAATTGAAACAGACTGCCAAACTCTTCTGAYTGAAAAGAATTTCAGGACACACTRAAGAACCCCCACAAACATATCGTGWAAACAACAACMCTGTTTGCAGCACTGGTTTATTCTTTACCAGTTCAATATTTACAAATATTGAGAATTCAGTAGGTCAGCTGATCAGTTTTTTTTTAACACATCAAAAGATTACTGTAGACATTTGTAAGCTGCATAAGTCATACAATTCTGTACGCTTGCTGTAGTCAGGCATCTCCTTTTTTAAAGATTATTTAAAGAACATGAATATTTATTGTGAAAGAAATCTATGTATTTCTATATGGGTGAAATAGTTCCATAATCCTTATTATTATTACCATTAATATTAAAGAGATATTAAATAAAGATATTATCTAACTCTCTTAACATCCTACCAGTTACCTTGAAAATCAATAAACTATCAAAATTTAGTAYTTAGCCATCATTTTTGATTACTACATTCTTTCTACCAATACAGACATAGTCACAACACAAGGCAGCAATAATGAAYACTTCCATTTTATTGGCATTTTTGGTGGTACCTTATTACAAGGCACTGTAATACAGTCAAATTTTAACTTTTTTTGCTGCTCTATGGCATAGTTCTTCCAATACTTTACTGATATTTCAACTGGAAATCTTGCTGAAAAGTAAAACAAGATTATGTGCAAATGTTGTGACTATATTCCCAAAGATATTMATTTGAGTAACATCAAGTGAAGGGCACATGCTACAGCCATGCCTCCCTGGGCACTGAGAGAGGAACCACACACACAAGAGGCAGCAAAGGAAGTCCTTCCAAATTAATACTGCAGCAGTTTTGTTTCAGTACTCACTAATTAAGCTTAATTAAACACTGGAGTTTCAGAATTCTAAAGAAAAACATCCTCACCTTTGAACAAATAGCTGTGATTTAAGGCAATTGTTTGYTAAGTCAGAAACAGCTGACTTTACAATGCCCTACACACCATTTTAAATAAAAGGTTTCATAATTATTTCCCTTCAAACTACACTTTTGACAACTAGATTACTGTTAATGAGGTTAAAACCTGTATATTTTGCTAGCTTTTCTGAACTGAATTAGAAAATAGACACCACTATTTCCTTTCTAACCCTGAACAYCAGGCATGTACACGAAGCACTAAGGAAGAAATGGCAAAACAC